AAACCAGCAGCGTCAGCATCCCCTGGAACTTGTTAGAAATACAAATTCCTAGGGCCACCGCAACCAATCAGGGCGATCTGTGTTTCCACAAGCCCTTCAAGTGATTCTAACGTGTGGGAAAGTTTGAGAACCTCTGCTTTGGATCCCATAGAGCAGTGGTGAAAATCCTGGGATTTTCAGATGCTTTCCCCCATTTTACAAATGGGTACAGAGTTGTGTTCTGGTGTGTTACCAGGTGGGTGGACCTATTGTCACTTGGGAAATAGAAAGGAGAGAGCCAGCTGGGCAGAGATTTGGCAGGCAAGAATTTGAGGCAGATGTTCTAGATAATTCTGGTACGTGGTTCCAGAATAAAGTCTATGCCTCTTCAGAACCACGCTGCGTCCATTCGGGGAGGACTCTGAAAGGTCAGTTGCAGGCGCCTCTGGGAGACAGGGCACAGGGGTTAGGCCGTCCCCACGACAGATTTACACGGCTCGCCTTTACATTCTCCGGTAGTTTTAGATGCCAGGTCATTTTCAAAAACAAAATGTTAAAAGAGATGTGCACAGTGGTAAGAAAGTGCTGCAACCTAAGCAAGGAGAAAAGAAAAATAACAATTGGAATAAATAAGGCAGCAACAACACAGGTGAAAACTGGAAAACTGAAGGAAGAGGAGTGAGTGGCCTAAAATTCAGACTCCCATGGAAGACAGCCAGCCATGCCACCCCTGCCTGACCCCCAACACCACCCCCCCAACCCACACAGGTTTTGCCTTGAACAAGTCCCTGTATTTATGGTTCTGAGGGCCGAGGACAATATCGGCCTCTCGCAGAGGTAAGCTTTGGTTATGATTACTCTCTCCTCCAAATTTCAGTTGTGTTGAGGTTAGTCAGCCACTTAAACGAGTTTTACTGGTTAGTGGCTGACTGCCGGTCCAGAAACATGGTGTTGACAATGCAGTTCACAAAGGCACTTTGGAGTTTGTGCCTTATTCTTCCAAAGAGCAATGAAGCCATTGTGAACGGCACTTGACCCTGCTTCTACAGAGGGTTTACATCCAGGATGATCCTGGGATGTGCACAGACTCAGACCAAGAAACACGAACTTATGTCATGTGCAATTCCACGGGAGAGCTCAGACATCATCCTGCTTTCCATAGTGTTGGTGGGATTTACCTAGAATATAAATATCCAGGTCAAGTGACTGGGTGTTTGTTTTTAACTTCTAGTTATATTTGGAGGCAGAGGAGAGGAACAGAACCAGAAAGAAAAAGAGCCAAACGAATGAGTATCAGGAACTTATTTTAAACCTTTATGAACTACAAAGGGCACAGGGCAATGTTCAGAACATTTCCATTTATTTGGTGGTATATCAATCCTCAATATAATTAATGTTTGGTTAATTAGCAGGGTCACTTAACCAGAATGCTCCTTTAATCACTGCCGATAGATTTATGGTCAATTCCACATAACCACATTCTACTAGCAGTCTTACTAATCGTTATTATTGGCGACAATGATAATGAAGAGAGACATTGTTATTGTGTCTTTCCTGTGTTAAGCCCAGAGGATTACACATATTTTGTCTTCATATATCCGGTGAGACAGGTACTATTATCTCCATTTTATAGGTGAGGAAATGGAAGCTGAGAAAGGGTAAAGAATGTGCTCAAGAACACAGAGTAAGTAACATAAGTTTGTATGACTTCAGAGTCCGTTCACTACATTCAATATTCACAGAAGGCCTGGCTTCTTAACAGTTCAATGTGATATTTTAAAATCTTATTTAATTCAGGAGCCTAAAAAAAGAGATAAGAAATATTTAGATACCTTGACATTTTGACTGGAACATCATAGCTCCCCAAATTAATTTTACGGCGTTTTGGTCCCATGTTTACAATATGGAAAGGGTCTGGCCTGAGCCTGACGCCCGTGTAAAAGAGGCCTCATACAGCTTCTTTATCCAGCCCCTCTGATTCCCTCAACACGTGGAATTCATGAAGGACATAGAATAAGAAACACGGCTTACAGGGCATAAACTGCATGTTGTGTGAGCAAAGGACAGCCATAAAACACACGCACAAAAATAGTAAATGTTGTGTTTTATTTCTACGCGTAAAATGACTTCATGCCATCTTTCTCCAGAATTTTACTGTGAAAACAGTAGTAGGTACCATTCCCCCAGATCACCTCCCATGATAGCTTTTGCTGCTACTGTTTCCCAGACAAGGGAGCTGCGGCTCAGAGAGGCTTAGTAAATTCCCTAGGGCCACACAGCTATGTGTGGCACAGAACCAAAATTCAAATCTGGACCTGTATATCTAACAAGCTCTCTTTCTTACAGGCCTGTGGGTATTGAGTCTTTAAAAAAAAAAAAAAAACTTAACAGACTATTGCAAGAAATTATTTTTTCCCTGTTTATAATTCATCAAAGACATAGGACAGAGCATTCAGTGGTGTGGGGTATTTGTTATCAGCAGGAAGCTGTTGATATTATTGAGTCAGTAGCAAAGAAGCTTGATGTTTAAATTAGCTGGGGTGGCTTTTTTAGCAGCAAACGAGCAATTTTCCACCAGACTCTTTGAAATATTGGAAAGAGCTTTGAAATTCCCGTTACTACCATTGAGGGTTCTTACTACCATTTCCATTACTACCATTGTGCAAAGATTCCAAACTGGAAGCCATGTCCCTGGTATCTGGCAGCTGGTAAGTCTCTGGGCCTCAGACACCAGCTATCCGGGCATGGAATGAGGAGGATGTGTTGCCTCATTCCAGACAGCACCACGGACCCATGTGGCGGGGGCGTCCGGTGGGTAGCGTGAATTACATTCATTTGCCTTGGCATCTTACTACCTTTTCTTTGGGTTTCCAGATGAAACTAAGTTCACCATCGTGCCAGAAATCATTTTTGAAGGGGACACGGTAACTCTGATGTGTGAAACTGAAGTTTTGTCCTCTAACGTGTCCTGGCACCATGTCGAAAGGCACTCCGACATCCAGAACAACAGCAGATTCTCGGTTTACACCTTCGTGCTCAACAACATGACCTCGATATCGCGCCTCACTATTTACAACATCACTCAGGGGGACGCAGGTGGGATTTCATCCAATAACTGGTGCAGGGAAAGGAACAAAAAACTCATAAAGAAACAAGCCGTGGAATGTGTATATGGTGTTTTCCTCTCTGGAAAGAAGTCACCAGGCTCAACTTTTCAAAATTAAAAATGAATCCCATGGCATATGCGTAAGCGAATATAGATAGCGTTGGAGACAAAAACCGGTTTCCACATTTACCAAGGGCTTATGAGTTAGAAAGTGAGAGGAAAAGCTGACTTTTGTTTTTAATTTTCAAAAACTTTTAAAGAGCTTTGTTGAGACATACAATAAGCTGTACATACTCAAAACTTGTACAGTTTAACAGTTTAACAAGTTTTGACGTATGTATAGACCTGTGAAACTACCACCCTCGTCAGGACCATCGCCCTCCATCACCCCCTGCCCAGTTTTCTTGCATTCTGTTGTAATCTCTCCTTCCCCCAAAACAACAGAAGTAGAAGTCTGAAACCTGACATTCTAGAATTTAATAACCTCGTTGTAACCCAGATGTGAATGGGGCAGTGGGAGCGGGCACCTCTTTTTCGCTGACTGAGAAGTTGGGTTGCAGACCCACGGGTCCTGTTCATCTTTATTGATTCTGATTTTGCTGCAGAGTTAAATAGAACGCCCAAATCATCCACAGTCTTCTATCTCTCCTTGCTACCTCTTCTATCCCCACACATTTTTTTTCTTACCAGCAAAGACTGAGATTTCTGCTCCTTCCTTAGAACATCTCTCTACTCATTTAACTTGCGGCATCAGAAATGATCTGCACTGACTTTCTGCACTTCCTGAATGTGTCTTCAGGGTTGTTTAGAGCAAGCCTTGGATGCTTTTGCAAACGATGTTTGGTGAAATACTGTCATGACACACGAGACGAGGCTATCATTCTTCTAAGGAAATACATATACATGGCCATAAAAAAATGCATTTGTATATTCCATGCAGGTGAATATATTTGCAAGCTGACATTAGATATTTTTGAATATGAGTCCAGAAAAAAAATGGATGTTACACCCATCCGAATTTTGGCAACTGAAGAAATGAAGGTGACGTGTGATAACAATCCTGTATCTTTGAACTGCTGCAGCGAGATTAACGTTAATTGGAGCACGGTAGAATGGAAGCAGCAGGGGAAAATAAACATTCCAGGTAAGGATGTTAGATGCCCTTGTGCGTATACATTTTTGCCTCTTGGCCAAGTAAAAATGGGAGAGGCACTGGGTAGAAGAGGAAATGTCAGACGGCTGTTTTTTTTCCCAAACTTCACACTGTGAAAAAGTACTAGGCTTGATGCCAGCTCCAGCTTCGCTATTCTAGAACATTCCAAAAATATATGCATATAACCATCATGCTTGGGTTGTAGACAAGATCCCGGCAGAGAAGACCTGATGACTTTGGACCATAGTATCTCCCACCTGTACAAAAGTTTGCCCCACCTTTTTCTCCTCTTCATCTTCAGCAAAGACCTTAGGATGAGGTCACTGGCTTTGCTTTGAAGCCTGACTTGGAATTTCTCTTTTCTGTGTCTCTTCTCCTGGTGTCTGTCCTTCTCATGCCTCCACCTCTGTATTCAGATCCTTCAGTATTACCTAATTCTCTCTCTCTCTCTCTCTCTCTTTTTAAAATCTCTCTGTGTAGACCTGTGTGTCTCTCAATTGTTCCACGTCAATTTCTGATCCCCTACACAGACCCTGTTTTGTATAACACTTTATGATTAACCAGTTTTGAAAATCTGTTATCACTTTTAACCGTATTTAACCTTGATCACACACTTGACGCTGGCTTTTTTTGCCTCCACTTTGCAAATAAGGAAATTGAGGTCTACAATGACTTATTCAAGTTTGTCACAATAGGAAAGAAAGAAAGAAAGAAAGAAAGAAAGAAAGAAAGAAAGAAAAGAAAGAGAAAGAAAAGGAAGAAAGAAAGAAAGATAAAGGAAAGAAAGAAAGAAAAGAAAAAAGAAAGAAAGAAAGAAAAGGAAGAAAGAAAGAAAGAAAGAAA